TATTCACATCCATTGACACCAACTGCGTAAACATTTTAACCTATCCGCGTTGCCTCCGAAAACTCAATCCTTGTGTTTATCAAGTATTAACATTATTATCATTATCATCATTATTGATTTGAAGTATTCACACTCATTAACATTAACCAACCACATCGACCTTCCCGAAACCTCCTGAAGCTCAATCATTACTTCCATCAACAATTACCACCATCATTATCATTAATTATCCACAATAACTCCATTAAAAAAAAGAAAAAAAAAAATATTAACGTGTCCCTCCCTCCTGCCTCTCCTTCCAGCCTTCTGCGACGAAGCCCCGAACCTCAGGAAGCTGTGCATCGGCATCACCGGAGACGCGATGCTGTACTCGATGTTCCGGCTGAGCGCTGAGCCCGTGTCCTGCCCCTTCCACGGCCCGCTCACCTTCACCTACTCCAAGGGCTACGGAGACTGCACCAACCCCGTCTCGCAGGTGAGCCAGGGGAAGGGAAGGGAAGGGCGGTGTACTGGCTTCTGTTGCTGGTGGTGGTGTTGTTATTATTATTGTTTGTTATTGTTTATTGTTATTGTATTATTATTATTATTATTATTATTATTATTATTATTGTTATTATTATATACGTTATATATAGCTTTTAATTCAAACGCTTCTTTTTGTTTGTATTATTATTATTATTATTATTATTATTATTATTATTATTATTATTATTGTTATTATTATATACGTTATATATAGCTTTTAATTCAAACGCTTCTTTTTGTTTCATTTTGTTTGTCTTTCCTTTCCCGTTTATTTACCGAGCCTTTTTGTGCACTCGTTTTCCTATACTCCATTTCTTCATTATTTTCTCTGTATGTTTGTTCTCGCTACTTTCCTCTTGTTCCTTTTTTAAAATTCTTGCTTGATAAGAACACTGGTCAAATAAGCGAAGACAGGTGCCCCTCCTCTTACCCCTCCCCCCCTTCGCTCTCTCCTTCCCCTTCCCCTTCGCTCTCCATCTCTCTCTTTCTCTATCTGTCTATCGCGGTCTTACTCTCTCTCTCTGTCTATATATAACTATCTATCATCTCTCTCTCTCTCTCTCTCTCTCTCTCTCTCTCTCTCTCTCTCTCTCTCTCTCTCTCTCTCTCTCTCTCTCTCTCTCTCTCTCTTCTCTCTCTCTCTCTCTCTCCTCTCTCCCTCTCTCTCACACACACACACACACACACACACACACACACACACACACACACACACACACACACACACACACACACACACACACACACACACACACGCACGCACGCAGTTACACACACATACTTACACACATTTACACATACCCCCCACCCACCCACACACACACCTAACACTTAATACATACAACGATACCCCCAACCCCTTACCCTCGCCCCCCTCCCCCCCAAAAAAAAAAGAAAATTGAAAATGGCTCAGTCATTACATTTCGTGTGTGCAACGGTCTTCGTTCGCGGTTCATTTCCGGTTTGCGTCGCGAAGGCTGTTGCAACGGGCAATTGCATGAAGAAGGAATATGTGTTTGACCCGCGCCAGTATGGGTTTCGGGTCAGTGACGTAGCGGGCGGTGCTGTAACTGTTACGTGTTAAGTGTTACGATCAGTGGCGGAGAGAGTGGGTGCGCTGTGGCAGAGAGCGGGAACCTTGTCATATTTTTCTTTTTTAAATTATTTTGTTTCTCTTTTCTTTTCTTTTCTTTCTATGTTTTACTTTCGTTCTTTTCTTTATTTTTTCGTTATTTCTTTCTTTTTCTTTCTTTCCCTCTTTCCTCATTTTTTCCTTTCTCTGTATCTTTAAGTATCTTTCTTCTTTCCTTCATTCTTTCTTTTATTCTTTCATTCTTTCTTTCGTTATCTTTTTAGTTATTGTTGGTGGTGGCAATTCGTTATCAGTTGTTATTGTTATTTGTTATTTATTTTATCATATTGCATTTTCTTTATTTCCTTTTGTTTTTTTCCATTTCTTCCAAGCACTTTTTAATTTATTCATTTGTTTTTTAAGATTATTATACGTAATCTCGGAATCTGGCGAGATTATTTTAAGGGATTAATATTCCTAATATTGTCGTTAGTAAATAGATAGATAAATGAGGTAGATAAGATAAATTGTTGAAAATTAGTTCACGTGTGTAATATTGAAAAAAAAATCTGTCATTAAGGTAGAATTGTTCTGCCATGTTTCTACACAGTTGTAAGAAAGATAATGGCAAGCCACATCACACCTCTTTTGGATCTCGCGAAACTAAATTCATTTCTGGGAGTTAAATGACATGGATGGGCCCTTTCCGGTTCAGGCTAGGAAGTGTTTCGTTGAGGACGAGGTTGGGGGTAATGCACGCAGGTGGAAAAAGTGTTGTGGTTTTTATAATTATTTTCATTGTTTTTATTATTATCATTAATCAACTGATTAATTAATTAATAATTACTATTTTTAGTATTATCATCATCAATATATATATATATATATATATATATATATATA